ATGGTTTAGGGATAATTTAAGATGTCCATGGTTTACTCGTCCAATATAACCATGTGGTTCCTCTTTACATAAAAAAAAAAAGTTGATACCCATGCGAAACGGTTTCTGTTTTAAGTTAAAAACAATATCCCCTTCTTCATGATGGTGAACGACTTCCCTTTTTCCCTCAATTAACTCCTGTTATGTAATATATTTAATAGAAAAGCTTAGTTAATGTTCAAATGGTAAACATTTTCACTAGTTTAGTGTTTGGAGAGGACGGAAAAAGGGCAATTAGAAACCATAGTAAGAAGCCCATTAATACTGATGCCCTTGCATCAGTTTTTCTATATCTTGTTAATTACAATATCTCCATCAAAATGGTGAACAACATCCTTCTTCCATCAATCAAGTCCTCTCATGAAATGTGTGTAACATTGACGCTTAGTCAACTTGTATTCTCAATGCACAGCAGTAATACATCGTGCAAAGAAATGTACACACCTACACACGCACATACAATGCACACATATACATAAATTTCTCATTCTATGTCCAAGCATATTTTCTCAACTCCACTAAGCTTAATTGTTTCCAATTTGTTATCAATAACACTATTTGGATCTAATTAGATAGAGTCAATGGTACGACGGAGACCGCTGCATACACGCTAATTAGCTTTTGAAGTTGAGCAATCTCAATTTCACTACAAGATTTGCGAATGAATGCTAAGCTATAACTGATTAGGTCAATCAATAAAGTGCAAGTAACATTGTTCATTTGTTATTTGTCCACAAAATAAAAGATAACAACAAAGAAAACAAAAAATTATTTCCTTCTGATTTCTTTTATTTGTACCGAAATCCAATGAAGGGTTAACAAAGAAGTGGGGTTATTCCCACCCCACAAATATCTGTTCTCACCCTCTTTAATTTTTTATTATCAAATTACTAAGTTCACTTCTTTTACACTCACCTCATTAATAACTAAATCTACCTCATGCTATATATATCCTTTTAATAAGTAAGTCACCTTATATCTTTTCACAATTAGGATTTTATTCATTATCCCATCTTGTATACTCATAAAAACACTTTTTCAATATATATATATATTTATGTAATAAGATAAAAGTTACTATTACTTTTCGATTTAATTCTATGTTTGATTTCTTGTGTGCTGTGTGAATTTTCATTATTTTTGTTATGTTTTGGTATCACCATCAAGTTTAATAATTTTTTATTATAGTTTATGTGTGTGTGTATACATTTAGATTGTTTTAAAAAATGGCATTAAAGGTCATTTCAATAGAAAACTTGTTTCATTTGAATTTTGACACGCTTGTGTCATTTGTGAATTAGTTTTTGTTATTAGCTTTTGTGAATTAGAAAGCTTGTTTATTTTTTATTTTTTTGACAACAGATTTCTTCCTTTTTCTTTATTTTCCTTTCTAGTTTTCTTTTCGTGCTTATATATAGGATAGGGTGGACTTAATTACTACCGGAAAGAATGGGACAGCACCATCGCAAACAAGAGATAGAGATAAAATTAGCAAATACCAAAACAAATCCAAAAATGCGATAGAATACAATATACAGACAAAATTGAGAGGATGGAGAAACGTACTTGCGAAGGGCAGGGGCCATCTTGTTGGTGAGAGTGCCGGCAACAATCATACAATCGGACTGTCTAGGGCTTGGCCTGAAAATAATCCCAAACCTGTCCAGATCGTACCTGGCCGCGCCGGTGTGCATCATCTCGACGGCACAGCAAGCGAGCCCGAAGGTCATAGGCCAGATGGATCCACGGCGGGCCCAGTTCATCAGATCGTCGACCTTGGAAATCACGTACTCGGCAGCCTTCGGAAGCCCAGTCGGCGACGAAGTCGACGGCGGTGGGGCCCGGGCATAGGAGGTCGGCGAAGACGGTGGTTGAGATAGAGTTGGGAGGGTTGTGTGGATTGTTGCGGCCCGTTGGGACGAGGCCACTAGAGCTATGCGTTGGGCGTTTCGAGCTAGGAGAGCCATTGTGTGTATGTGTGTGTGTGTGTGCGTGTGTGTGTGTGTGTGAGAGAGAGAGAGAGAGAGAGATTTCTCTGTTCAATTAGTTTCCAGTTTCCGGGAGGAGCTTGATTTTGTGTACAGTTCGCATTGGTACAATTAAAAATGTTTTCAATTGTTTATTAGCGTGAATTGTACCCTAAAATGTTTTTATATTCTTTTAAGATAAAATAATAGCGATGTAACCTAAAACTAAATGTTAGTTGTTCTTTTTTATAATTTTTTTTTATATTTTTCATATTATCATATCTTTATATATAATTATTTTTATAATACTCAATGTTAAGTGTTTTCAATGAAATTTTTATACTCATTTTTTTTTTAAAATGAATCATATTACTACCTTATTAGCTATTGCACTTAAAACTGTGTTAATATTTTTTTTTTTTTGTAAACATAAATTATCCCAACAACGTGTCCTTTAAACTTGCACTTACAATTGTAATGCCATAATCCTAGCAAACATGTGTATAGGAGTTTTACACCTCGTTCCTAAATAGACCACAACCAATCCGTGTAGGTTGACTAGGCTGTTTTGAGCTACGAACACTGATAAAATTATACGAGAAAGAGGAACAAGGTCGGTTTTTACCTTCCTGGTGTAAGAGCAATTCCAACTCGCTTGGTAAAAGTTATATTTTAGCTATTTTGCTAAGTCAATCTAAAATTTTTTTCTCCAACCAGCTCTCTATTTCACTGATTATTTTGCTTCCTCCCATTTTCACTCGTTACTTCTACCTAGCAAGTCTCGCTCTCTATTTGTTCTTTGCGCCAATTTTGGGATTGTCCTTCATCAGAGCTCGTCTTTATTGTTGTTTTATCATCATCTACATCAGAGCTTGTCTTCACTCGGTATGGATCTCTCTCTATCTTTTTCTCTCTCTGGGTGTGCTTGATTCAATAGATGCTCTAATGCCCAAATAGAAATTTGAGATGATTTTGATATCTCAAATGATGAAATCAAGAACTCAAAAAGACCACTGGTTTGTCTGTGAACAACCTAATTTCTTGAAATTTTTTGAGATGAGTTTCTTTTAATTGTTCACAATATATTTGATGAATTATCTCAATAAAGGAGAAAAAACTAGAACTTGTTTGATTCATAATCAGGGCCACAAGTTTGTTCTATTGTTGCCCCTCCATGATTTGCTCCTTCAAATTTATGCTCTGTAGCTTGAATTGTATTTTTTTTAACTTTGTTATGTTGTTTTAGCTTGCATGTAGAACACAATTATAAGATCATTTTTACATGGTATTTTTGAATTATATTATTAAAAGTTAATTAAAGTTATTTGAAATAGTTATCTAAAATAGAGATTGCGTGGTTGGAGTGAATTTTAAAAAATAACTAGCTAAAGTAAAGAATTTAATATTTAAATATATTTTGAATAACTATTTTACTGAATGTGGTTGAAGATGCTCTAACAATCCTGAGGCTTGTCCCCTCCTAACTTATGGTGGTTTGAACCCCACCAGTGACAGTACGTAGGTAAGGAAGTTACATTTTTTCTTCGATTTGTATCAATTTTAAATAAGGAAGACAATTGTATTGTATCGGTGTCGGACCGTATTTGTATCATGTTATCCTAATTTATTATAATTCAACTTATTTAATTAATTGTGTCGTATCGTGTCAACCTATTTGTTTTTGTATCATATTTGTGTTCGTATTAACTCATACAACTCGTGAATAAAAAATTTAAAACTCAATTTTATGACTAAAATTTCATTATCACTTAATTGAACCAATCTTTTTTTTTTTAACAAGAATTAGGTCATTATTTACTAAAAATATAATTAAAAATTTATGTTTTATTCTTATAATACTATATAAACGTATCAATTTTCGTGTTTGACACTAACACGAACAAAAATGACACGTGATCACTTTCGTCGAAAAAACTTAATGGTCCATCTATGTAGGAACCAAATTGAATATTTTAGGGACCAAATTGATACAATGAGAATTAAATTGATAAAAAAATACATACTTTAAAAACCAAAAATACTATTAACCCTTTTTTAATACATGTTCTCATTCCCTTCCAATTATTATTATTATTTTATTTTTTTATTTTTAAGGCCCAATGCCTTTCTTTTTGTTTTCCTCATATTACTCATCTATTCATCTTCAGGTGAGCTAATTCTCAATGTTTTGTAACTTCATTTCCAACTCTCCCATTTGGTTGGTAAAATGATGTAACTGCTAGTTTCTCTTCTCTAGGCATGGTTGAAGGCTTCAATGATGGCGTGAACTGTTGGGATTTCTCACGATTTGAATCCACTAACAAACACACATAATCGAAAAACAAATCAAGAATATAAAGCAATAAGAAACAAGAAAGAACAAGACACAGATTTTACGTGGTTCGGCAATTTGCCTACGTCCACGAAGCTGCAGGGATTTCACTATTGAGAGAGTTGAATACAGAGAGCGGCTGTACATCCACAATTAACCCTAATCACCAAAACAACAGGGTTTATATGTCCTACGCACTGGGCTGTATAACGGGCCCAAAAAAATTTTCCTCGGGGGCGTTGCCCCCGAACCCCCACGAGGCTTGTCCATGAGCGCTAGGCCCAAGCCTTCGCTCCATGAACTAAGCCTCAGAAAATTTTCCATTAAAAAACCACACAACATTATTTCGGGTTGAGTCATCATCCGGATCACATATACAAACTAGACTCCATAAAAAATAAACCAACATGAACCCCTTTTACTGGAGCCACACACAAGGTAGTTTGTAGTAGTTAGATATGATACGTTCAATAGATTATATGTGTTGCAGATTGTTGATGCCCCTTTGGGTACTCCTTTGGCTATTGTTTTTCTCTTACTATAAGGTAATATAATTAACAAAGTTATTGCCAGTCTTATAAGAATAATAGTTCATGTAGAAGACAGAACAGCATCTAGTACAAGGCTAAGATCTATTTAAAGAACTTTGCCACGCACGTCGCTCAGTGACTGGTGGTCAATCTGTAAAGCTGCTCCTTAAAACAGACCTCGTGGTCAATCTGTAAACACCAACACAAATAAGAAAGTTTAGCGGTTTACTAAACGTTACGGGAACTCAAATCAAAACAAACATTACACTCACTTTCAACTGGATATATTACACTTACACTATAGTCTTTGAAGCTAATTAGTAGGAATTGAAACCAGAGGCAAACGGACTAAAAAAGAAAGAAATGCAAGTGAATGGAACCTGAGAGAAGGAATCAGGATGGTCTCTGTCGTCGTCCTCATCCTCAGACCGAACTTGTGCAACAAGTCCTCTACTTAGAAATACGAACACGGGGGATGTGAGAGATCTTGGGCCAATCTACTCCTATACCCTTGAAATACCGTCGTTCAAGAAGTGGGCATGCCACTATGGCCAGGCTTGAAAGTGTGGCAAGTGTCCCTTCATTAGGCAACAAACCTAACTCAGGGCAGTTCATGATTTCCAGAGTCTCAAGAGAGGTCAGGTTTTGGAGCCCCTTAGAGAGAGACTCAAGATTCGAGAATCCATCAATACAAAGGAATTTTAGAATATCAGGAAGAAAACACGAATCTGGAAAGGAAAGTAGCTCTGGATATACACGTCTCATAGTAAAACGCTGAAGAGAAGGGAGTCTATGCAAGCCCCACTCTGATAGAGGCTTAAGTTCTCTGCAGTTGCAGATAGATAGCGTTTCTAGGTTGCGGGGCAAATTGATGTCAGGAAAGGACTCAAGTCTTTGACAAGCAGTCATACTCAGTTCTTTAAGGTGGGTGAAGCTTTGACTCTGGCTAGGAAAGGACAAGGGATTTTCACACCCGACGATGTAAGACTTACTGGATTGGGAGTGAGCAAACCACTTCCTAAGAATGGCTGTTCGATTTGATAAAGCACTGTACATTTAAACTCCCCCACGGATACAAGTAACCTCTCCAAATTCGGCCAATTACTGATCCCAAAATGTCCTAACATGATGTTCTGTTTCACCATTTGTTTAACTGACACCAAATTCTTGCAATTAGTAATGCAAACTGACTTAAGGGTGGGGAACAGAATGTCTGTTGGCAAGGATCTCAGAAACGAGCAGTTCCAGAGCTTCAACTCTTCAAGACTAGTGATGCCATTAGGGAGGGATTCCAGAGAATGTTAATCTTTAACGTGAAGACGTCTAAGCATGGGTGGGAGACTAGCCTCTGAAAAAGGCACAAGCTTTGGGCAGTTCAAGATTTCCTACTTCTTGAGAGATGTATGGCTTTTCAGGCCATAAGGCAACCTCTCCAGATTTTGACAAGAGCCCCACTTCCAAACGTTCAAGATTACAAGGTAGCCTTTGATCTTCTTCTAGCAAGTGCACAAGTACGGGACAACCCCAGACCTCTAGGCGTTTCAAACTGGATAGGTTTTCCGGTGTAATTCCATTCTTCCACAAAGGCACCAATGAGGCACAATTTCTAAACTCAAGAACTTGAAGTGAAACCATGCCATTCATCAACTCCTTTTGCAGATGAGTTAGTCCCACAATATTCTGAATTTGCAATGTGGTTAATGAGGGTAATTCAGTGAAACTTTTCAATATCGCATCGTCACACTCTTCAATCTCTAAATTGTGAAGATGGAGAAGTCTTAAATTTGAAACACTTGCCAACTTAGGACAATTGCATATAGTAAGCTTACGAAGACAAGGGAAATGTCCTCTACGATCAACATTGTAAGAAAAAGACCATTCCTCCCATTCTGGCATCTTGTCAAACCATAGAATCTCGAGTGATGGAAATGGAATCTCCAAATTGCTACCATTGCTATAGAACTCCGCACCCACACTTTTCACAGCATGCATGGATCTTATGTATAGTATTTTGAGCAATGGCAGTTGACCAAGTGGTGGTAAAAACATGCATTTTGTACAACCTTCAAGACTAATGTGCACTGTTTTACAGAATGCCAGATCCCCAATCCATCTAGGAAACATGATGATGCCCTTGTAGAACTCAATTATAAGACTTTTTAATTCTCTATGTGGTCGTAGCATGTCAAGTACACTGATCTGTAATCCTTCATGTTGAGAATCTTCAATGTCACTTTTCCATTTAAATTCCAACTCATCAAGATCCTGTTTCCAACTTAAATTGGCCTCCTCTGCAACCCGCACATCCACAACATTTTGTAACCCTACAATAGAAAGCATCCCTTTCAGAAACAATAGGCCATTCAAATCTCCGAGTCCAAATCCACTACTTTTGCCAACAAGAATCTTTGGCAATGTTTGCAAACATGTCAATCTACTGATCCCTTGGGCATTTCTTCTAATTTTGGAGTATTTCTATTGTCAAGATGACGAAGGTTCACCAAATTTCCAATATTTGTGGGCAAGTTGCAAAGGTCACGACAACTCCTTAATGATAATGTTTGTAAATTGTACAGAGTACTCACTGATTCAAGTAACCATTTAATAAAAGTTCTGGATAAATTAAGGTATCGAAGATGTTTCAAATCACCAATCGAGTCTGGTAGCTCATAGACATTGTACCCACTCAAAGACAAGACTCTTAAGCATCGTAATTTCGGCAATAAGTTGAGCAAAACATTATTACTTAAATAGAATGTCTGCTTGGATTTAAGTGGCACAGGTAAGAAAGTCCGCAAACCCTGAAGTTCATGAAATACCTTGATTCTTTTGTAGACCTCGTATTTGTGGCGAATGAATGATAAGTGGCGAATTTTTGTCGAAATTTTACACTGCTCCTTAGTCTCCATATTATCATCCAACGTGAAACATATTTCTCCTGCAACAAATTGAGCTAGATCATTCAAAAGGTCATGCATCACAAATTTTGATTCCTTGCCACTTGAATGTTGGATGAATGACCTCGATAACAGCTCACTGAAGCAACTGTCACCAAACTTTTCCATGTACTTCATTCCTTCTGATTGTTGTAGAAATCCTTCTGCCATCCATAACAAAACTAACTCATCCTTGTCAAACTCGTAGTCCTTTGGAAAAATAGCACAGTATGCAAACATTTGCTTTAATTGAGAAGGGAGATGTTGATAGCTTAATCTGAGAGCTGGAAGAATGCCACTCTTGTGCTCGGGTAACTCCCAAATTTTGCTATTCAGCACAGTTTTCCACTCATTTGGGCTATTTTTAGTGCGCAGAAGGCCTCCTAGTGTCTTTGCCGCCAAAGGCAAACGTCCACACTTTTTCACTATATCCTCGCCAATTACTTTCAAATTTGGATAGGCATCAAAATTTCTTGTACGCAATGCATATTGAGCTAATAAACACAAACAATCCTCTTCTGCCAAAACATTCAAAGGGTAAGCAGGAACACCCATGGTTGATCCAACGCCTTCATTCCGAGTTGTAACAATAATTTTACTTCCAGGTAGCCCAACTCAAAAAGGAGCACATACGAGATCCCATTTTTCGTAGTTCTCGTTCCAAACATCATCTAAAACAATAAGAAATTTCCTTCGAGAAAGTTTCTCTTTGAGACTCACTTGCAACATGTTCAAGGCCTTGGAGTCACATATTTCCTTGGTGACTTCCTCAAGAATAATCTTGGTTATCATGTATACATTGAACTCTTCAGAAACACACACCCATGCTTTCAAATCAAAGAAATCCTCAACTTTCTCATCATTGTACACAAGTTGAGCAAGAGTGGTCTTGCCCACACCACCCATCCCAACTATTGGAATGACGCATGTTTCATCATTACCTGATTCATCCCTAAGAACCAGTCCAAGTATTTCTTGTTTTTCCTTTTCCCGACCATAAACATGTGGCTCATCAACCAAGCAAGTTGTCGGTAATCTCTCTGATTCTCTGTTTAACCTTGCTTCTCGATTAACCCTCAAATCCAGATCATCTTTCAGTTTTACAACATCTTGTAATCTAGAAGTGATATTCTCAATCTTGGGACCCATCTTTATTTTGAGCGTAACAGATTTACGAAAATTAGTACAACAAGCAGGGATGAATTTTCGTACCTTACTTGTGGTAGCTATTTCGGGCTTGGATTTCACTTCATGCGCCAAAGCTTCTGTGGCAATTTCGTCCAATAGGTCATCCAAATCATAAGCCAAATCACTGAGACTATTCAGCTACAAGTTCACAGCTTTCTCCGTTATTTGCTTAGCCTCTGCATCGTTGAGCACTGCTCGAATTGTCATCAACACTTCGCTCCATTTCTCCAACTGGGTATGAATTCCCTCGCTGCGAGCAAAGTTCAAAAACTCGCGATAGGCCATTCGCTCAAACAACACAGTTATAAACGCACCAAGAAATACTTCTGCTATAGCCATTGTTCTCAAGTTGAGTAGATTTGGGAAGGACGGGTTTCCTGTATCTCAAAGCTGCTTAAGGCCTCAAGTCAATGCAACCAAAGAAGAAAGAGGTTGCTAGGAAAAAAAAGTCAAAGATTTGTATCTGCCACAGACATTCGTGTTTTAGTGGGTCAATTGTGATGTGAGCAAAGCCTTTGTTTACCGAGTCTCGGCTGCATGGCAGGGTTTTTCTCATGTCTTGAAAGTAGGGTGTGAGGTTGACAAGAATTCGAAACAAACTATTATAAAAATTGACACGTTTATTAAATATATATAATAAATAATTTAAATTAATATTTAATACGCAATACAGATTAAATAAATTATTTTTTTGTGAATCTTGACACAAACACAAATAAAATGACATGTGAATCACACGAATACGACACAATTAACAAACTCACTCGAGAGGGATAAAAACAAAAATAAAGCAATTGTCTTCGTCAATTGAGTTGTACTCATAAATATTTTGGTAGAATTACATTCAAACTCCTTTAAGATTGTCAACTAATCACTTAAACTCTTCATATTTAAAATATTACACACAGATTCTTTAAAATATATACGTGCATAACACTTAGACCTTTTCATCAATGTCCATTAATTTATCCGTTAATAAATTATACTCAAACTCTATAATATTTGTATGTGTGTAATATTTAAACCTCTTAAATTTAAAATATTATACTTAAACTCTTTATTAATTATAAAACTAACGAAATATATTAAACGATCAAATTACTCTAATTAAAGATAAAAGATATTTGTTCATTATGGTTTGACTTCTTGTTTTATTTTTTAGTTTTATTCAAAATAGATAGTATAATTGTATATTAATTATATATTTTTTTAAAAAAATTTATTTTATTTTTGATTTAATTTCAATAAATAACATAATAGAACATTAATTTTGGTTAAAAAATTAAAAATATTTGATATTCTATTTTTAATTGGAATTTTTTTAATTTAAGTATAATATTTTAAATTTGAGGGGTATAAATATCACATGTTTAAATTTTTTAGTGAATTTGAGTGTAATTTATTAGACTATATTAACGGCAGGAGTTTAAGTGTTATGCGTGTACAAACTTTAGAAGTATGTGTGTAATATGTTAAATATTAATGGTTTAAGTGATTAAGTAATAAACCTCAAAAGGTCTGAGTATAACAAACGTACTACCAATTATTTAACTATGCAAGTCACAATTTCACGGGGTTAACTACGGTACAGTTAAAAAAAATCGATATTATACATCCAAAATTTATTACTTCAAAAAATGTTTTTATAATTTTTGTGGGTCATTTTACAACTAAAAAATTTATTACTTTTGTGGTTAATTTATCACTTTTGTGAGTATTTTTACCACTGTTTTTACTACATTTTTGATAACTATTTTTTACAAAAAAAATTTATCAGTGAGTCATTTGTCACATTTGTGGATATTTTTATCATATTTGTAGATGTTTTTATCATTATTGTTAAGGTTGTCCATGGGTCGAGCCAGGCTTGGCCCGTAAAATATTTTTTTAGGCGGGGCTTGGGTAGTGTAGGCCCAAGCCCGTACTCGGGCAAGTGGTGGGCCAGGTCGGGCTTCGGGTAGGGGCAGCTACCTGTAGCCCAGCCCATCACTTATTGGTCGGATTTTGCAGGTGTGCTTTCTAGACGGGCTTTGTTGGACCTGTTGGGCAAGCCTGTTTTGGGTGGGCTTATTGGGCCCTATTAAATAAATATACAACTTCATTAAATTTTTTTTATAAATTATGTTTTTGAATTAAAAGTATAGTCAAAATCAAAATGGACAAAAATTAAATAATGAATAATTCTATTTATAAATATAAGAAAAATTGCATCACAATAGAATGAGTACATCTCAACTAGGTTGATACATATCCACCTATTTATCATTTGCACAATTCTACCAATTAAAAGTTTTTGTACATGAAAAACTAGAATATTTAATACATAAAAAAAATACATCAATCTTAATATTTAAATTTTTAAAACTTCAAATTCTGGCATTGGAGGATTTATTTTCATATTTTGATCTCTCGCTTCAGCGGTATATCAATCTTGAAGACACATAAGGGCTTCCGCTGTTTTTCCATCTAAGCAACTCCTATGCTCATCAATGACACGTCCACCTATACTAAAAACATATTTGGATGCTACAGTCTACATAGGAACTGATAGTATATCACGAGCCATGGTGAAAAGAATTAGAAACCTACTTTCATATCCTTTCCAGCAGGCCAAAAATATCAAAATCAGGATCTTCAATACTTACCATTGGAGCATTGTAATATTTCTGAAGTTCAGTTAACCTCCTAGATGTTGACATACCTCCTCTCCTCAAAATTGAAACTAGCATAGATGTTTTACCTTTACCTTTACTACTACCAACAATATCACTAGAAGCTGAGGGAGAATTAAGTGTACCACCATTTCCAAATGTTACACTATATTCATTAAAACAAATTTCAAAATAATATTTTATTTTATTCATGTGGTTCATGTGCTCATCATTTATCATATCATATAAAGACAAAAAAACACTTGTAAGACTAGATTCTTTAAATCGATGATCAATTAACATATCAAAACCAATAAGTATAGGAAGTGGTGAAAAATATTTATTAAATTTAGATTGCATATTCTATAAAATAGTAGAAAATTCAGGTTCATTACTATATAGTTTAAAAAGATCACTGATATTAACTATATGAACATAGACACGTGTAATAGTTGGATAATAATTACTAGATAAAGTCATAGTTGACTCATAAAAAAACTTTCATTTTATTAGTGATATTTCATCTCTCTTCGATAGGACGCGATAATGAACCAGTAATATCTATACTAACATATTCATTTAAGACAATTTTATATTTAACTGCCACATCTAACATTTTATAGGTAGAATTCCACTTATGTTGTACATCATATGATATTTTTTTGTATTTTAAATTATTTGTTGTACACATAGTTCCAAATGTCCTAAGTCTATTTTAAGAACCTATTATATGATAAATAAATTTACCACTATACCCTCACTGATAAAACACATTTTTTTGCGAGTAGATTTTTCGAGATTTTAAAATGTCTAAAATCCTTCTAATTTGCTATAAAAATTCATAAATATATACAAACACATACTTAAATTTTCGTCCACTTTCTTGTGGGATCTTAAATACATGGGTTAAAATATAAATTTTGTGTTTTTGAGAAATTTATTGAAATTAATTAGTGAGGGATATACTAAAAAATTGTTTAATATATAAGAGTGATAATTATCGGCATAATATGATAAGATGATACAAACTCAACATATAATTTTGATCTTACGTTATTGCGTCACAGGTAACATAGGTTAACTCAATACAACAGAGTAAAAAATTGATTGATTCAACGTCAAATCATGCTACACAATTTTAAAAATTGATCAAGCCATAATTAATTAGTTATATCGTAACATATTAAGTTTGAATCATGTTAAATTTATTCAATTTTTACTCATAATCAGGTTCTGATTTTATCCAATTCGTGTCATGTACATACAATTTTTTATTCTTCTTTGATCACTAATTTATCTATGGGTGAGGCTATTTCCATCCCACAAATCTATATTCTCACCCATTTAATTTCTCATATGAAACTATTAAGCCTAGCACGTCTATACCCACCCTATTATTAATTATGCCCACCTTTTTTTTTTTTAATTATGCCCACCTCATGATATATATATATATATATACATCATATTTATAGTTAAGCTCATTTATTCTATGTACACCCTTTTAATGACTAAGCCCACTCTATTATGTAACTATAAAATTATAGACAAAGTGACCTAATATTTATGAAAACATAAAATTATTACGATTTAAAAAAAAAAAGAATACTTACTTTATACGAAATCAAGAAAACAGAAAAAGCAGTCATTGTGTATGAAATAAAAATAATGAAAGAAGACAATTAGTTTGAATGTATAAATATATTTATGAAACAAGTAAAAAAAAAAAAACCAAAAACGAAACTAGTTAAAAAAAACAAGCATGCCGTAATAAGAAAAAAAAAAGAACAAAATAGATTAAAAGAACAAGCAAAATCACAAGACGCAAAACTGAACATGAAAAAAAAAACAAGCATCAAATACAAACACAAAATTGAATAAGAAAAAAAATAATAAATATAGATGCAAAATCTAAACAAATAATATGAATGCATACACACACACACATATATATATACAAAAATATAAATTCTATATAAAAAATTATTAAACTTAACGACAGATGGCTCACTTTGATCAGGAGGTGAGCAAGAGAGGAAGACAAGAAAACGCATACAGAGAACCGGCTAAAATTGCACAGGAATTAAGGATCGAAAATGTAAAATGCAGATCTGTGACATATTTTTTAGGTGGTTGTGTCATGGATGTTTGCGGTTGTGAATTGGGGGAGAGGAGGTGGGTACTGGTTGTGTTAGAGAATCTCCAACAAAGGTTTGTATAATAGTTATCTACAAGTACACTTTTTTTATTTTAATTACTCATTTTTTTAATACAAACTCCAACAACAGATTTTAAACTTTCTATAAATATTATTTCACATGTTTTGTTGTACCTTTGTTAGGGCCGCCGGAGGGAAAGACAAAGAGAGAACGAAGGAAAAGACAGAGAGCGAAAAAAGAGAAAAAATTATAAAGTATTACAAATTACTCCATTGGTGCCCGTGAATATGTAGACGACACACCATCCACAGAAGAAGCACCTACCAGCCAACCCACTCTGAACCTCCACCACATAAAAAAAAAAACTAGAAATGATAGATGTTTTGCTCTGCTGTAGCTTTTCATTGCAAACTGGAGCAAAACCAGGACAAAGATGGTGCGCACAGTAGAGTAACAAAGGGATGATGAAATGGATTACAGTGTCTGCAGATCTACACCTCTCTTGGGTTATTAAATTGGAGCTTGGGAA